CTCGGGGTTTTGATCCAGTTCAGGGCAATATAGAGATTGCACCAATGGAATAGAGATTGAGGGGTAGCCAGCTCTATCTTTGATGTGTACAGAGGCAGTTACTCATCTACAGCTGGAAACCTGATTTCCCTGGGAAATGCATTTGCTGAAGTCTGCACAGGGGTGTACAAAGTGGAAGAACTGTCAATTGAGAAAAAAAGCATATGACTGAGAGAGCAAAGTGTGTTCTGCAGCAAAGAATACCTATCCAGTGTGCAAAATCCAGGTAATGACCAGCCCTTGGGTCCTCTGTGCAGACCCAGATCCAAACATCCTGAAAATCACAGTAGAGCTGCTGCTGTGCCTGGAGTTGTCTGGGAGAATCCCACCGGGAAGTGGAGCTGTGCAGGTGGGATCCTGTGAGAGCCTGAGAGGCAGTAGAAATCACAGTCCTGCAGGCAATATTCCCTGCCAGGTCAGGGAAAGGTGAGCCCCAGGACACACAGCAGCAGCAGCTCTCTGCAGTTTAAGGATTCCTGGAGCCAGGGGTGAGCCAGAGGCGAGAGAACGGGCCCAGACTGGCTGTGGGGGGCACTGGGAGCTGGGCAGGGAGCTCAGAAGGTCGGTGTTGCGGGGGTGTGCGTGCCTGGAGCCGAGCTGGGGTCGGCAGAGGAGCGCTGGGTCCCGGCAGCAGGCAGCCAGCACTTTCCCTATGACCCAATTAGCCACTCCATCGGAACAAATCAATAATGGCATTTCCTGGAGACAAGCAGGCAAGTGCTGCTGGCTCGGCATGGCACTGCAAGTGAAGGCACAAAGGTGTGATCTCTGCGGAAAACTGGCTTCCACACCGGGTTCTGTCACTGCAGAGGGGCTGAGTGCGACATGTGGCCACGGACCACAGAGCCACTGGCCACTGCAGCATGGGCCTTCTCCTCAGGGCCTTGCTGGCTGGCCATAAATGAGAGGTTTGAGTAAGGCAAAACATGTGGTAACTCAGTTTAAGGAAGGGCAGAAAGACCTAACAACCCTGCTGGACTGACTCAAATGACAAGGAAAGGGTAGAGCCATTCCTTTAGGTGGTACCACTAAAATTTCCTGCCTGTAGGAACTCAGAGATGAATAAAAGGATCCAGACAGTGACCCCAAAAACCTGAACCTCACTGAGACTGTGGTAATAGGTGCAAGATAGAGTTAACTGTAAGTGTAGGATGTTGCATTTTGGGGGCTGATTTAGGACATCCAAAATGACTCATCTGGAGCCTCCTTTCGGTCCATTTTTCACAGGATTCCTCTGAACAAAAAAGTGATGTCACTGTGAAAAGGGCATACACTGGTCTGGGTTTCAGCTGTGGGCCACTTGAAAGGGAAGAAAACTAAAGCAGAAATTTTTGAAGATAAAAGCTTTGCACTTAGATATCTAATGTAAATGGTACAAACACCTCTGATGTCTGAAACCTTCATTGTAGCTGAATTGCAGGTTGTATAATACATTGCATTAGCTGGACTGGACTGTATCCACTTAATTGTCCTATCACCTTGCTGTTCCCATAATCTATTTCTTACTTCTGCAGGGGACTGAAATGTGGTGCCACATATGAAAAGATGGTCATAAAGCAATTACAAAACACTCTGTGGAGGCTCAAGATGGTAACTTCTGCATTTTAACCACCTAGGAAGCAAAAATGAGAACCCAAAAGAACCTTGAGAAGATGCAGCCTTTACATTACTGATGCTGCTGCTGAGCTTTTGGGACAACCCATATTTTACATGTCAAAGACAGGGAAAAAGTAGATAGACAGTTATTCTTTTTCTCATTATGAGACTAAAATCATTAAATCCTTAAGAGGCTAAAATCATTAAATCCCTAAGAAGTCTTGTGGACTGAGAGGGAGAGAATTCCCCAGGACTATGAACAGGCCAAGGAGAAGGGGTTAGTTAAACACACAAAATAAATGCTGCAGTGACCAGCAGCAACACACATATTACACAGCAGTGACAAATTAATGTAGCTCAAGGCGGTTGTTTCTCAGCTTCACTCCTTATTTCTTGTGCCTGACTTTCATTGTTCTGCTTTTCTTTTGGATCCTTTCACTGTTTGATGTGTGGGCTACAGGTACGTGTCCCCTGGTCTTCCCAGCTAGCAGAGCATCTCACTTACATCTCAGTAATCAAAGGAGGTTTGGGAGCCATCAGGGGGGCTCACTCCTTCAAAACCCTCTCAATGACAGTGCCACAAATTGGTCTCTTTCAGGAAGACTGCTGCTGCCAGTGCAAGCTTTGATAATAGAAATGGCAGCTGAAATTTAAACTTAGACATTTCTATTACTCAGAGGAAAATGTGCAGTCACAGAAGGTTTTCTCATCATCTGAAATTTCAAGCTGCCATGTGTAATGCTCTGGGGCCCATTTCTCATAGCCACAATGGCTTATTTTAGAGTAGTTTTGTGACTTTCTGGGAAGAGCCCGGCATTGGTACAGGACCTGTAAGCTGAGATGATCCTCACCCTGAAACACCCATTGGGATCAATAACTTTGTGCTTCTGCCCAAGATCAGCATCCCTTCAGCCTTTCTCTTTTAGACTGGGCAAGTCAGACTGATGGGAGCACAGGATATCTGGTCTGGGATCTTCAACTGACAGAGAAAGTGTAAAGGGTGTAGGAATTGTGTAGGTTTACTAGCTGTGCACTGCAGAGGCATTCATCCACATTATCCCTTTTTATGCATCTCCTGTCACCTCCTCTTCCATGCTCTTGCACCAAAACCCACATGCAGGAGGAGGAAGATATGTTCTGGCAATGCTGCCAAAAGGCTGCTCAATTCCAGGTCAGCCAACAACTTTAAAGAGAATCAGGGTACATTGTCTTCTCCTGAGAAGTAATTGTACATACAAATTCCCTTTGTACATACTAAAATATTGAAATATGTAAAAATATGGATTGTAATTAGGGGAGAGTTGGAATAGATTTGAATGTTTAGCATACCCTTGGTATTTCTTGTTTGGTTTCTGTGATGCCCTCTGCACAAAATGATACTTCACCCTAATTGTGCCCTCTCAGTGCAATCATGTAAATTTTGCTCTTGTTCATGTTGTTCTTCCTTTGGGAGCTCTAATCTGGTTATCCTGGACATCCTGGAGGGGAGGAGGTAAGGACACCCATGGAGTTGGGGCTTGCAGGATTAAAGCTTCTGGCAGCAAGTGAGGAAGTTTATTCCCCACAGTCCCACAGGGATGTCCTTGGTCAAAGGGTCAGCCCACAGTAATTCCCCACAACTCAATATCCAGGGAATTGGGATTTCATATCAGCCTTCAGATACAATAATTTCTTCTGCAGTAACCCACATGTTGGTCAAGAGAATTTTTCTCTGAGTCCAGAGACCATACATCTTTGGAATGGGCACCAGTAAAAATGATAGACCTTTGAATTTGTTGGCATTTGCTTTCTTATGGCTCTGCTCCTTTTGGAGATATTTACAGCAGTGCAAATTTATTAGGGTTTTGCAGAAAAGCAAATGCAAAGCTCATCACACAATTATCATTTCTGCTGTTAAGCTTCTTCCTATTTTTGTTTATATATTATGTCAATGAATTTTGAGTTTTTGAGTTGAAAAGGCCTTGTACACACACATTTTCCCCTCTAGGAATTTGTAAAAATTGCTTTCTGGGTATATGAACTCGCGGCTTGTTTGGACCTTTTCAGCAGTAGACCCCTCAGACCTGCAGATAAAAACTGCAAACCATTGATCAGGGCTCTGCACAGGGGAACAGCAGTGACCTGCAGCAGCTGTTTGTCCAAGCCTGGAAAGCACTAGTGACAAAGCTAATTAATTCATTTCTCAACTCCATGCCTTCTGTTTAATGCACATGCCAGCAGTGAACCACATTATTTCACTGCAATCCAAATATCTCCCGGTAATGCGACAATGTTCCTCCAATGTTTGCTGAGAATTTCATTAAAAGATACAGTGGGAAAGCATATCTTGATTTGTTTCTCCTACTGGGTTTTGTTTCCCCCTATTTTGTTTCACTCTGAATCCCTAATGTTTCTATTACGTGTGATGACGTTTCAATATTATTGAAACTATTATGAGTTTTCTTAATATTTCCAAATCAACTTTTATTCGTAATATTGTTTCAGTGAAATGCCTGGTTTTTTTCCATCAGCTCTTTCTCTTATGACTCTAATAGTTCTTAATAAAGCTCTAATTCCACATTTACAGCATAAAATGATGGTAACGTGTTTCTTCCACTGATTTACCCACCAGCACATAGTGCAGCTAAACAGATACCTGCATTTCTACACTTAAGACATAAAAATCCCAAGCCCTCCATGCCCTATGCTGGGATTTATCTTGTAATTGTGAATGTTACTATTTATCTTGAGAGGGGGATGATAAAGTGGTGCAACACACACCCATGAGCATGCACAGTCACACACTTCCAGACCTCATGGACACTCAAGTGCAAAGTTTCAACAAGCTTTTGCTTTCAGTGTGAAGGAAAAAAAAAAAATCTGAGAGTGTTTGAGATTGTTACTATCTGTTAGACACAGCAGAAAAGTGTGAGCATCTTTAAAGACCAAAAAAAAAATTTAAAAAAAATAAAAATCACCAACCCCAAAATTCCAAAATTAAACATATTTATACACTATGATCCACATATATACACTAGGCAATATTTACAGATCACCTGATACTAACAAACAATTCTAGTTTGAGCCTTACTTTTCTTTCCAGTGGCTGGTACAGGACCATGTTTTGGATTCAGAATGAAAATAAATGCTCAGTATATAAACTGGGGGAAAAGCTGGCCAGGAGCCACTGCTTGGGAACTGCCTGGTCATTGATCAGCAAGAGGTGAGCAAATGCCTTGAGCATCACTTGTTTTGCATATTCTAGTTCCACTATTATTATTATTATATCTTTATTTTCTTTCCTATTAAACTCTCTTTATCTCAGTTCGTGAAATTTACTTCCTTTTTTCCAATCCTCTTCTTCATCTACTGCATTCCTATTTCACTTTTTGAATGTTCTCTGCTTGTTGGTTCAAGTACAACCAGGGAATAGAGAAGGACTTCAGAGAGAAAAACTAGATATTATTCATACTACCCACACTGATCCACAGACGATTTCAATAAAATAGTCTCTAAACAGACACAAAAAAACCCACCCTAAAAGTGTTTACCAAAAATTGCAGACTTGTCTTTTTGTTACCTAGTTTTCTATTTGGACAGTGGAGCTCGGTGATTTTCTGACCTCTTGCTGTTCCACTTCCCAGTGAGATGATGATTGCGAAAGTCTTTTTGGTGATGCACTGACACTGAAGAGATTTCCCCAACACAGCAGCAGAAATTAACATTTAGCAGCTGATTTGTACCCAATCCCTGACACAGAGTCCTTCCTTAGAAATTTTTTACGACAGTCCTTCCTTCTCTAACAACTATTTTGCTTTCAGATTTTCAAACCTCTCAACCACGACATTGAGGATCGCCCCTGACAGCTGGTTCTGAAGCAGGAGCTTTGATCCAGTGACTGCTGAACTCCATTGGTTTCAGCCAGCGTCAGAAGGTGCTGGATCAAGGCTGAAGGGTCTGGAAAACATTAGCCAGATATGGTGTTTGGAGCCAAGAGATAAAGCTGGTAGAAAAGGGAGAGGGGGAGAAGGAGAGAAAGAAAAGCATTCCCCTGAAGATGTTTCTTCATTTCACACAACACTTCAAACTGCACAGGATTTTTCGCCTTTACTACTGAGTGCTCTGGAAAGAAAAATAAAATCTGCCATTTCACACCAAAGAGCAGGAGAATAACTGTTTCTCTTGTCAGAATACAAATGATAACACATCTTCCCTCTTTCTCTGGTGCCTCGTCATATCATCCTCTGTCTTATTGTATTTTAAAGAGAGCTACCTGGTCCTCAATTCTTGTCGCACAAGCAAACCAAGACAGTGCACATTTTGAGGAAAATCCTCCACTAACCTAAGATTTGTTCTGTAGCATTCCCATGATTCAGCTGAAAGGGAAAAGAACCAGTCTGTGTGTGAGAAAGGATTTAATTGCTCTGGTTAGAAAAATTAATCTAGAAAAATTAAAAGAATGCAAAGAAAGGAAATTCCTCTTGTTGGAAACTGAATTTTGCTCTTGGATATGCATCTGTAACTTCTTCTGAAGTTAGCAGAATATCAAAGGCAGGATTAGGCCTTAGGACATTTGCATCACTAACCATGGATCCAGTCCAAGGGTGGTAACAAAGGGCATCTTAATAGCCTGAAATTAAGAAACATTTTCGTTACCTACCTGCTCCATTTCTGTAAAGGTGCTCTGCTCCTCATCCTCCTCCTCGATATCCGACTCTCCCACAGCAATAGGAACACAAATGGACAGGTCAGGATTGGTCATAAAGTCATCATCTGTAATTGCCGGGTGTTTCTCTCCATTTTTATTCACTCCATCCTCAGCACGATTCTCCTTGTGGTTCTCCATGTCTTTGCCCAGCTCGGTGGTGGTGTGGCTGTTCACGCAGTTGTTGAGGGCTCCTGGGTTCTGGGCCGCGAGTTTCATCATCGCCTTCTTCTCAGCCGTGGTCTTGGGGTGCCGGAGGACGTTGCAGCAGAAGTTCCACGCGGCTTTTTTGGCGTACTGAAGGCCCCTGTTGATGCGGGCGAACGCGAGCTGCAGGTTGTTCATCTCCCCGTCCTCGTCTGGGGCTGAGAGGTTGTCGGCGCTGAAGGAGCTCAGCAGCAAGGCAAGGAACAGGTTGAGCACCTGAAACGAGTCAAGTTCAAAGGAAATTGGTGAACTTTAAATGTGGAAGGTACATGTTCGGTCCTGGAAACAGGAGGGTCTGAGTTTCATCTCATCGGTTGCATGTAACACCATCATGGAAATCCCTCTAATTACAGCTGGTTTCAGCAGGAAAAGGAGTCTGCAGGCATTTACAAACAAATTGACCTCAGGTGCAGAAGTTTAGCATGGATAATAACACACTCCAACATTCCCTTCCCCCCTCCCCACCTCCAACACCCCAAAACATGAAGAATAAAACGTAAAGCTCAGAAACAGAGTACAAAAAACCCCAGAAATCTCTGGGAAGACCCCACTGTGGCCTTTCAGTGCTTAAACAGGGTCTCTAGGAAAGATGAGGATGAACTTTTTAGTAGGATTGTTGTAATAGGACAAGGGGAAAGGGCTTTAAAATAAAAGAGGGGAGTCTCAGACTAGATTTAGGGAAGAAATTTTTGAAGATGAGGATGAAGATGAGATTCCCATCTGGGAACATTCAAAGTCAGGTTGGATGGAGCTCTGAACAACCTGATCTAGTTAAAAACGTCCCTGCTCACTGCAGGGGTTTGGACTAGGTGCCCTTTAAAGGTCCCTTCCAACCCAAATACTTCTGTGATTCTATGACAATGATGTACATAGGCAAGGCACTTCAACCAAATTGTACATTTTGAAACATTTCTAAACATTTGTATGCATTTTCACAGACAGTCTTGTTTTAAATATCCTCTGGGCCATGAGGGAAATCTATTGTGACTGTGAATAAACACCTCAGAGGTCATATAGCTTCAAAAACTTTTCCCTCCAGGCTAAAACAAGCCATCACAACCAGATTACTGTGGCCAAATCTAAGCAGGACTCACTCCTGAAGCAGGCTTGGTCCTGAAAATGCTGTTACTAGTCAGGGAAAAAACTATTTGAAGATTTTCACAGGTTTATAAAAAGATCCAAACTGAACTTGAGATTGTGAGTTACCTTCTTTTTCTTGCCACTTCAGAGCTCTCTACTTTTGCTGGCAGTGAGCAGCAAGATTAGACACAACTAGGCATTTAAGTGACATATTTGATGGTTTAAACCTCTTTTTAGACCCCTGCCCCAAATAAATACAATTATATCCAATAAATAAAACCAGCTTCTTCTCAAAGGCCATCCCCAGTAATATATCCCACAGGCTGGTTACCAGTTGCTGTATATTGAACATTACATCTGCTCCTGGTCTGAGAAGAAATAAATTACAGCTTTTGTGCTGGATTTATCAGGTCAAAATGTTCACACTGGAGGTGGATGCTTGGGATGACAGGAACAGGGCAAAGGTGACTCAAACCAATATCAGCTAAAATATATTTACCCCAAAACAAACCAATTCCAAATTGCCTGGTATCAACTCAACTGCTGCCTGTACCATGTGGGTGGGTGCCAGCTCTGGCTATTGCCAAGGAGAGGTCAGTGCTGCAGCACTCCTGCCATTTACAGCAATAAAATGGACTTTGTGCAGGTATTTTCTCTGTGATCTCTTAATGCTACCAGAAATATCTGTAAGCCCCCTGATTTCTCTCCTTCTGACAGTACTTTAAGTTGATAACACTGCTAGACCAACATAAACAGCATAAAAAGTACTTCTATTTAGCTTTGGGCCTTGCCAAAGAGCCACAATCTTTTGCTATCATCCCCTTACCCTGTTCTCTCTTATTTAAAATATTCAGAATATATGGGATAGAATTCTGAAAACCTGGTCCTAATCACTCTGATGACACTGTGTCTGAAGTGCCCTGCCAGTGCTGTTTTGTAAAGTACCCTTTGCAATCACTGTGATTAAAAACAAAAGCAGTTGGTAGCACAGCTGATGCCCCTGTCCATTATGAACCGCTGAATAAACCATTGCTGCCCTGAGCACTGTCCTGCTCTAAGGTAAAGTGAGATTAAAGCCAATTGTTTCTTAGTTGGTCCACCACTCTGACAGCTTGTGTGGGTCTGCTCACCGCTGTGGTGGCCTGGTGGGAATCAATCTTTCCTTTCAAATCCCCTTGCAGGTATTGCAAGTGATGCTGTCTGAAACAAGAGCAGGGGACATGCAGCCAAGCAGGTGGGAGCCCATCAGGGAAGGAGGCTCTGGTAGATCCCCTTTAGCCATTTTCAACTCCTTTGACAGCAGGATGAGGTCTCAGAGATAACAACATTGCTACAAGTGTCCTGAAAATAAGCACGTGTGTATATGAGAGGAAGCAGCTGGAGGAAGGGAAGGGATAAAGGAACTCAGAATAAAAATTTTCTGGACTCTACAGGTACAATTAAATTACCATAACAGAGGCATCTGCTGATGTTGAAGGGTGTCTGAGATACCTGCACCAGACCTACACAAGGTCTGTGTCCTCCCAAAGCTCCAGCTGCCATCCAACCAGGGCATCCCAGTGTGCTGCAGGAGGAGACAGACTCACCAAATTTAGGGGACTGAATTGCTAATCAAGGATGGCAGTTGCCTCCAGCCTCAGACACCAAACCCTGAGGGTCTAATGGTGCATCTAAGCCTCATTTCAATCAGACATTCATCTGGTGGACAACAGAGGGTGACCAAGCACAGGTGACCGTGCCAGGGCTGCATGCACCTGCCAATATGTCTAGTGCCATCTGACCCTTCCACGCCCGAGTCATCCTCAGGCAATTGCCCAGAAGGACACGCTGTTACAGGAGATCTGTGTCCAGCTGGAGGCCAGGAGGGACACCTTGCAGCACCCCCAGTGGTCCTCAGGCAAAACTGAGCCAAGCCCTAGACCTCTGCAGAGTAGTGGTAGCTCAGACATCTCCATACATGAATATCTCCGGGTATGCACAGGAATTTCATTATCTGAAGCTGAATTTCATCCTGCACTTAACTCTACTGCTCACAAAAGCTTTGAAACACCTTGTTTTTATTATACATAATTATACAATATACAATACACCTGTATTTATTTCAGACATATATACATTAGATCTAGAGACACCTGCAGGTGCATGTAATAGGTGGCAGCATCCTTAGTGTTGTTATTTACCATGGATTATTAAAGCAATCTTATTTGCTTCCTAGAAATGCAGCTGACATTTTGCACAAAGAGCTATTTGCACTTCATGCCTTTAGCCAAAAATAAATCTCAAATATCATTCCCTGCTTCCTTTATGAGCAGGTAACCTCAGAGTTGCATTGCTGGGCATTCAAACAGAATGAACTGCTGAATAAGCACTTTATGTTTACTTATTCCTACATTTCACTGTACACTGCATTTTCCAGAAAAATACATGCCTAGCCCATGACACACCACCTTTCCTGTGAAAGGTTACTAATGATGCCCAGTGCTCCTGGCTGCTAACCTTTCAGTTGGAGTAAAAGCAAGCTAAAGATTACCTCAGTTTTCAAAAGCAGTGGCAGATTTGTATGTCCATACGGATCCCCTTAAAAAGAAATCTGCTTTCCAGTGACACTGAGCAGCCAGACTGTGAAAGCAGGTCGCTTTATTGGTCTTTGAGGTTGGGAATCAAATGACAGATGCACTCAAAGAACCCCAAATTCTTTTAGTATAATTATGTTAAGCTTTTAGCCTAATGACAATCCAGCATGCTTTCGTCGACCTTCGCACTTTTAATGCCTTTTCCAGAGCTCATGACTCTGGCAGTGCCAGTATAAGGCACAAGTGATCAGATTAATCCAGTCTTCTGTCAGGTGCCTCCCTGAGGTGCTTAAGCTGGAGTTTTCCCAGGATGTCTGTAGACAATGGAGACAGTCTGGCATCCCAGGGGATGCTGAGGAGCTGAGCAGTGCAACCGAAAACTAAGCAAGCTTGGCTTTTGTGTCTCAGAGCTGGATTAAAGGTAGATGCAGGTCAAATAAACCACACAGAATCACAGACTATCTCAAGCTGGAAGGACCCATGGAAACATCAAGTCCAGCTCCCTGCAGGACTATCTAAAATTAATCATATGACTAAAAACATTATTCACTGTCACACCCAGCAGCTGGCCAGGCAGCCCATCTTGGTGACAATCCCACTCCCGGACAGCAGTGACCTGCCTTTACAACCAGACCCCTTCCCCAGGGTCGAGGGCAGCTCAGGCTGTTTCAGCCCCACCCTGAGCAGCAGCACACAGGTAACAGGTCAGGCACAGTGCCAAGAGCCAAGTGCTGCACCAGTTCTGTGGTGGCAGCAGGTGAAGAGCACAGAAGCCTGGAGCTGTGAGGCTGATTCCAAGCTCCCCATCCATGGGGAGAAACAGGCTGCTGGAAGCACCCACCCTCCCCAAAAAGCTCTAGGTGGGGACTGCTGGTGGAGGCTGGCAGATACTTCTGCTGCTGTGGAAAGGCTGTGGTCTAATATCTGGGCTCCATTGTGTCTTTTTGTGTCAACACAGAGCAAAATCAGACAATTTCAATTCAGACGACACCGTCTCATCAAATCCTGTTTGAAGATGTATCTGTAAGCGCTACTGCTGAAGCCAGAATACTTTTGGAATAAAAGCATGAGACTACATCTTCCTTTCCCTTCCATCTTTTTATTTACCTTGATTTGGCAAAAGTGTAGAAATATAAATCTTTATGTATTTAACCTTCCATCTGTCATTCAGTCAGACAATGTGCAGGCCTCCTGAGCTCTGAATTGACTCAGCTCTGCATTCACTGCCCTGGACCCTCACTGGTGTGAGAGGATTTGACACCTTTCTTCCCTGTGGAAGAGAAATTTCCTAGGAGACAGCCAAGCAGGTTTTACTGTAACAACAGGGTACAGAGTGGAAAATACCCCCATCAGTGAAATCTACCATGAAAAAGCAAGCCATTAATCCAAACTGTAACCCTATGGCAGATCATTGTCACTTCTGTCACTCAGCTGCATAGGAAAGGCCAGACAGTGCATGTGAAGTACCTGCCAGGATTGCCAGCTACTCATTTAATGCATTTTTTTTATTGTGGATAAAACAGGGTCCATACACCTGGAGTGCTTGGTAGATACAGAACAGGA